GAAAGTCGACAGTTCTCTCGGTGCTCCGGCGAATTGGCAAAGCAATGGCCAATGCCACCACTTGGGCTTTGTAGCCCATCATCCCAGGAGAAAATCTCAACCAACCTTGACCCTATTGGACCACTGTAGACGACGAATTGACGCCGGGAAGCTTTAGGCACTTGCTGGCTTTGTTGGCAAAATTGACTATCTTTCGTCCACTTTTGGACTTCATGGCAGGTATGAAAGTTATTCTTCTCTTTGATATCTTCATTTTTGTGAATTTTGGTAATTTTTAGAAATAGTTGAATTTTCCGGCAAGTCGGGGTGACCAACCACCACCTAGGATGGCGCGTGGGCCGAGGGGTCCCCTGACCTTCCTAGGCTAAATTTGAATACCTTGGTTCCATTTATGAAGCCCGATTGATGAAATTCCGTCGTTTCAACTTAGTCCCATTATGGTCCACCACTTGATTATTACAGCAATCGACGATCCAACCGTTGGATCGTCATTAAATTTTAATACATTATATTATGTAATATTTGAGGATATTAGAAACTTACGGATTGGGAATCTGACATACGGATGTTCCCAAATTGGAATTGTATGTTCGTAAAATAAAACGTTGACCATCACTTGAATTGGCAATTGGAGGAGATCCAACCGTTGGATCGTAATGAAACTTTAGTATGATGTTTTAGAAGCACAATGTGGATCTTTGGAAATTACAGATCAGAAATCTGAAATGTGAATCTTCTGGATTGAGTTACGTAGGGTTGTGGACCCTACCGTCGATCTTTGACCGACGATTGACTTTTGGTCAGTTGGTCCCAAATCATTCTAGAACATCATTGGGGATATGTTTTATGTAACTTACGTGTTTTATCGATGAGAACTCTGAGATGTGATTTGATAATTGTTATAGGCGACGATGGTTCATGATGTCTCAATTTTCGTGCTAGGGAGTCGTAGTGCGAACCTCAGGTGAGTGGGTTTTTTCCTTTTATCGTATATAGATATGACTAATAATTCCAAATGCTTTTAAATTGTTCTATGCATTTTATGCCATGTTATATATATATATATATATATATATATATATATATATATATATATATATATGTTAAAATACTATGGTATGGTTGAGTTTTAGATTGCATTATGGTATATTTATATGCATATTATCAGCATATAATTACTGTGAATGCTTTGAAGTACTAAGTTGAACTATGAATGGCTTGATCTCGTTTGAGGGTACGTAGGCAGTCTAACAAGACTGTTAGATGCAGCCATAAAACAATCCAAATTTAACATGGTACTTGGTTTCTTTAAGGAAAGAAGTTATGATGGTTAACAGCGTAGAGATTAACCATGATTTTATTATGGTCTATCACTGGGTTTAGTTTTGATTAAGAATGTTAGGACGTTAAAATGGTTATGCCAAATGACGCTGTAGATGCCCTGGTAAGCTTCAGGTGGGTACATGTTGATAACAGTGATTTCAATGTGCATGGTTATGTTTTTATGTATTTAATGCTCATTATCCTACACCTCGGTGTTAATGCTCCGCCCGAGGATAGGGCCTAGCCTTCACGTGATCATAGCACTTGAGCGAATTTATTTACACCTAGCCTGTCGTACAAACCACATTATGTGGTTCTGACTCGTGTGCAGGAATTGGTAGATGAGCTATATAGGCAACTCTAACACTGTTGTACAGGTTGCCTATGAGTCGTACAGGTCACTATAGGTGACTCCGACTTATATGCTAGCATTGATTGATGAGATGGATGACTCATACAGGTCACTATAGGTGACTCTGACTTATGTGCTAGCATTGATTTATTGAGCACATGATTATTTATATCGCTCATGAGATGCTGTGTCGTGGTATTTTTATGGATTTACTGTTGATATACTTTTGATTTTACATTGATACGTGGTATGATTTTTTTTTAAACTGTATAGGTGTTACAACGAGGGGTTATAACGACTTAGAAGGTTTTTATTAAAATTTTATTTCCAAGGCCACTCACCCTTACTTTGTTTCCACCCTCCAGGTTTTTTAGCTGAGCTTTCTTATCGACAAGGATTCGGGGCAAATTTTGGTATTGGAGATTACCTTCAATGGTATGATTCTCAATCCACTCTACTGTACTTTACTTATGCTCTGACATCATGTGTGAAATGGGTTCATTTTCGCTCACAGTGCACTCTCGTATTTAGACACTTTTAGATTTAAATTTATTCACATTTTCCCCACATCACTATACTTTATGGCTTCGTCACCCTCTTGGTGTCGGCCAGCACAACTTTTTTTGGAGTCCAAGTGAATTTTTCAGGTTGGGGTGTGTCATATGCAACGTTGATACACATTTGTAGAAAACTTTGTATTTGCGCGCAGCTCGACCTTCATGTACTAAAACTGCCATAACTATTAACTCCCTTTAGAAAAATGATATTCGCTAACACTTCACAATTTATACACATACAATCCTTGTCGTACAAGGAAAACAATAAACACAATATATATCCTTCCTAGTAAATGACTCCTACAATATCTCCACTCACTGACTCACGTTATTGTGTTCTATTGGGATATCATCTTCTTTGATTTGCATATATAGGCATGTTTACTTAACAAAAATGAGAAATCGGAAAGCTTAAAAATAGAAGAACGAAAAGAAATTAGAACAACTACCCACTCGTAGATTTGATTTTATACATTGAGTAAGGATGCACATTAAATATTACAAATGAGAGAGTTGGTAATTTGGTCTAGCGACACTCGATCTGCATTCTATTGCAGAATGTCATGAGTTTGAATTTTGTGAATGGTTGTTAAATTAAAAGAAATGAGAAAATGAATGAATCTGAAAACTTAAAAATAGGAGAAGTAAGGAAAGAGAATCAGAACAATTACCCTCTTGTCGATCTGATTTCATACATTGAGTAAGTATGTGCAGTAAATGTTACAAATAAGAGAGTTGGTAATTTGGTTTAACGACACTCGATCTTCATTCTATTGGAGAATGCTATGAGTTTGAATTTCATGAATGGTTATTAATTAAAAGAAAACAAAATATACATCCATCCTCAATTTATAAACCATTTGTTACTTGACCAATACCCAAAAAGAAATAAATAAATAAATCATTTGCTCAGTTCGACTTGGGGTTTATCAATTTGGTTAGTAGTATTTTTTTCCGTGTATAAAATTTGACCGGATTTTGTGTAAAATATCATTATCTAAAGATCATATGCAAAAGTTCATTATATGGAGATTTTTTAGCTATTCTTATGCATAAAAAAATGAACGGTTCATCATGATGAAGCTACTTACTACGAAAACTATTGATTGGTTTGACACACATGAATGGATAAGCGATCTTCAAATTGAATGATTATTTGTATATATAATTTTAGACAATGATAAAGCGAATGAGAAATTTTAATTATGATATTCTTATTGTAATGATAAGTTAAGGCCCTATATACTTCTCACACATTCCTAATTAATCTATGTTCTTTAATCATCATTTATTCATTCGATCCGTCGACTGAAAATTAAAATAATGTGTGAGAAGTAAAAAAAAAAAAAGGGTAAAGTACAAAAAACTACCTCAACTATTGGTGTCACGACACTTTCATACCTCATCTTTTAAAATTGACAATGGCATACCGTATCTTACAAATTTGTGACAATGTCATACATTCGTCAATTTTTCTGTTAATTTCTCTGTTAAATGCTGACGTGGCCTGACGCGTGTCCCACTCACTAATCCAGCTGGATTAAAAAATAATTAAATATATTTTTAATAATTAAATATTAAAAATTAAGAATAAAAAAAACAAAAAAAGAATTTCCTATGGATGCGGCATCCCCTTTCCTTCTCCGGCACCAATTTCATTTTTTTTTTTGTTCTTCTCTTTCCTTCTTCTTCTTCATCTTCTTCTTCTTCTCCTGGGCCGAAACTGGATTTGTCACTTTTTTTTTTCGTTCTTCTTCTCTTCTTCTTCTTCTTCTTCTTCTTCTTCTTCTTCTTCTTCTTCTTCTTCTTCTTGGGTCGAAACTGGGTATGATTTTTCTTTTCTTTTTGTTTTTTGTTTTTTTTTTTTTGTTTCTGGGTTGCAGGTAAAGGGAAAAGGGGACGAAGATGAAGATGGGGAGGAGACAGAGAGGGTTCTTCTTCTTCTTCTTGGGCTGAAACTGGGTTCGAATTTTTTATTTTTTTATTATTTTTGTTTCTGGGTTGCAGGTAGAGGGAAAAGGGGAAGAAGATGAAGATGGGGGAGGAGAGATGAGTGCGCGTTTGGTTGGGGGGGACGAACTGGGTTGGCAGAGTGAGGGAGGCGGAGTAGTCAAGGAAGATGATGCCGTGGAACGGCATCGTTGCGATCTCCAGATCGAGGGTGGCGGGATGAGGGAGGCGGAGTTGTCGAGCAATATTGGATTCTTCATTTTGGGGTTTTCGAATTGCGACAACAATTGCTGCAATGGGAAGGTGGGTTTTGTTCCTTCTGGGTTTGGGTCTTCTAGGATGCAAAGAAGTGAGAGAGGTGAGAAAGGGGGGAGAGAGAGGAGAGAGAGGGCGGTGGAGGACGGTGGGAAGGGGTTTTGGGTTGCAGAGAAGAGAGAGTGGCGACAAAGGGGGGAGAGAGAGAGATTTAATATATATATATATATATATATATATATATATATATTTTTTTTTTATTATTATTATTATTATTATTAAAAATATATTTTATTATTTTTTAATCCAATTTGAATAGTGAGTGGGACATGTGTCGGGCTATGTCAGCATTTAACAGAGAAATTAACAGAAAAACTGACGGAGGTATGACATTGTCACAAATTCGTAAGATGCGGTATGACATTGTCAATTTTAAAAAATAAGGTATTAAAGTATCATGATACCAATAATTAAGATAATTTTTTGTACTTTACTCAAAAAAAATATGTGGATATCAGACTCCTCAATTAATTGCAAGTACATGAACAAGTATTATGTTTCTTTCTTTTTGGGCGACGTTGTTAATGATTTCGAGCACTTTCTTTGTACTTGCAATCAGCCCAAAAATGCGAGATTGACAGGGTCACATTTCAATCATGTCCAAAACCCAGACTCGATTTCAATTAGTTTGACTCAGAGGAGAGAGATGGAGAGAGAGAGAGAGAGAGTCTTGACATTTAAAGAGCAAGTTTCCCCTATCTGATTCCAAGAGCTGCAGAGCCCATCTCTGGGAGCATCCCAATTCCCAACTCGTGTTTTCTCAGAGGTTTGTTTTCTGTACAAATTCATCTTTTATATCTTTCTTAAAAATTTAGTTGTACATTTTTGGCTTTGGAAAATGCATGAATTGGAAACTACATTGTCCTCCCCGCATGGATTAATAGGATTATGATCATCTACATGTACTTTGTATGTTGGTATTGTCCTAAACTGATCATGTTTTAGAGTGTAGGTTTTAGCGTTTAAGAATTTAGCTTGGAGGGGGAGGGGGAGAATTCTAAATTATAACAATAATTCGGGGAAGGGTGGAGTTTCTAACTCAGAACGCATGGGTGGAAACCCAACACCTTATCCACTTGGATATTGGACCACATGCTATAACGTTCCAGACCAAACATTCTCCCATCACTGTTAATTAATTGGATCTTCAAGGAACGAGTAGAGTACAAAAATGAAAGTTTGATTCGAGTGTCCCTCGAAATTGGGATAATAAAAAAAGTCTGTTGCTTTGCTCATTAGGAACAAAATATTTTGTTTGTGCGCTTCAACTATAATGTCGAGTGGGTGTAGAGGGTCGATAGATAGATGGCCTTAGAGTTGGCTTATGTAGTTACAAAATTACGGTTGGGATTATTTGAGTTGGTAAGTGTTTTTGTTCTACTGTTTTTAGATTTCTTTATTTGAATAGTCTTATTATCTGTTTTTTCGGTTGCTCTATCTGCATTTGAGCTTCAATTTGAACTCCAAATTGTTCTGTACTGTTTCTTCATTGTTTATGCACAATTATTTCTTCAAAATACCTCCATTTATTTACTATATTTGTATCAAATGATGGAAGAACCTAGCCAAGGATCAAAGACATAGTACATAAACAAAGAAGCTAGATCAGAAGGAATCAATTGATGTGACACAAAAGGAAGACAGAAGAAAAGTGCCAATGACTAAAAACAGTGAATATGCCCAGTTCAAGTGCGCTATGGTTGGATTTGGTGAGAAAAAGGCTGAGTTGAAGAACAACTTTGAACAAAAGCCACTTGTCTTGAAGAAGCTTTATAGCACACCATGTGGAGCACTGATAAAGGCGTATCAAGAAGGGAAAATGACGGTAAGAAAGTCAAATTTGGATGTCAAAGAAGTTTGCAATTGTTATGACACAACAAAGAAAAAGTTCAAGTTTCAAAATGGATATAGTCATATCACGACTGAAGATGTGGTGCGGATTTATGGGATACCGAACAAAGGAACAGAAGCACCAAAAACAACAAATTCAAGAAAGGGAAAACCAGGTGTTTCTCGATTAACAGACAAGTTCTTCAGTGCAACGGCAAGACCCGACAAGAGGGATCTCTCTAATGCAATTGAACTTGCATTTGAAGATGATTCAGAGAGAGGGCAAGATGATGCAGCATGTTTAATAGTGTTGTACTTACTTATCACTTTATTGCTTGCAAATTCTGGAAACTACCTGCCATGGAGTTACGTCCAAGCTTGTGAGAGTGTAGAACAGATAGAGACATATAATTGGGCAAGAGAGATAAAAGAATACCTTCAAAATGGAATCCACAAAGATCAAGTCAAAACTGAGGAGACGGGGAAACAATCTGCAATAAGTGGATGCGTCATGACTCTGCTGGTGAGAAAAGGAAAACAAAACTCAAACTCAATATTACATAAGATTATCAGTTAACTCTTTTTACATAAGATAATCCTTTGAACTATTGGAGCAATACTTATTCCTACTTCATGGTGTTTATCATTGGATTGTTTTTACATGTGCATCTTGGTATCGTTCTCTATTAATAGCACCTTTGTATTGAAGCCGATACTCATAGTTTAGGCACATGTTTAAATGATGAAAGGCCTTGTTTAATTGTTTTCACATGAGACTTTTTTACGTGTTTCTGCATTTATCAGATATTTCCATGACTAATCCATTACCCCAATTTTTATAGTATTGGTTGTGCAATCGAGGAAATATGATCAAACCGATTGAAGGAAGGGAGAAAAGTGAACCCACTGCAGTGAGATGGGACCTCCACATGCTCCATAAACACTTACAAAAGATAAAAAATATTCAAATCAAGGTACAAAACCCAAAATGATTCTGCAACTTTTCTTATTATTCAATTACGAAATTTAATAGTTGATTGTTTATCTATTTCTGCATAGATGGACAATGCAATAGAGGAGGAAGATTCAAACCTCATTCAAGAAAAAAAGGAAAACTAATGAAAAGAGCTTGAAAACTTTGAGTTTTAACGATAAGGACACAATAAAGGGAAAAGTAAATAGTACCATGATTGACTTTTTAGTGTAAAAATATGGGTTTTCGTTAAAATGAACAGTACCAGGAGCTTTTCGTTAAAGTTCCCAAGAAAAAACTGATAACAGTGACTTTGTGAATCCTCCAACTAATTCAAATACTCAAAAAAAGAAAGCTAGAAAAGCCCTGTCTTTCCCCTTTTGGATTCCATCAAGAGCCAGAGACCCCATATTTGGGAGCATTCCAATTCCCAGCTTTGATGACATTGAATCCCTGCTCGTATTCTCAGAGGTTTGTTTCTAAATTTTATTTTGCTTTGTCAAATGCATGAATTGTATACTACAATATCCTGTCCACATTGGTGGATAACAGAAGTAGGATCATCTAGCTTATTGTTCTTTGACAAATGATAGGATATTAACAAAATAGCTTTATACATTGTCATCCCGCCCGTATGGGTTGAACCATACACCTCCTCCAACAAAGTGGAAACAAAAGAACAACTGGTCATGTGCAAATAGGATCATGATCATCTACTTGTAATTTGTATGTTGGTATCGTGGTAAAACAGTTATGTTTTAGAGTGTAGGGTTTAGCATTTAAGAATTTAGTTTGTCATCTTAATCAACTCTAACGTAAAGTGAGCTGGGCTTATTTCAGTGGGTAAGTGGGCGTAGAGCTTGGTTGGATGGCAATTGAGTTGGCCTATGTAGTCCACAGTTTCAGATATTAAGTGTAGAGACATTTTCGTTGTAGCAACTGTATTTAGGTCATAATTCCTATCTCATGAGTTTTGTCATCTGTAGACCTGTAAGTATTCAATGCCGGATTGAAAAGCTTTGGATATCACTTTATGCTTGAAGTGGTTTCGTTTGTTCACCATTCTTTTAAGAGATGATGAGCTTTGTACATACCTGTTTAAATTAATAATCTGATTTTCTAGAGTTAGCATATTTCTGAAAACATGTTTGGTGATCTCTGAATTCCAATATGTATTTTGCTCATAAAGTCACAATTGCGAATCCTCCACAACAAGGCCAAGGCTGGACGACATGTGTGAAGAAATAACTGAAGGATTTCCCCGTATGGACAAGAGAAAGATAGTGAAAAGGGCCAGGAGTACAGAGGATGGACTGGAGGCCTTGGCCAAAGTTGCTGCAGTATGTAGGAGCCTTTTTATTTGATGTAATGTCTTTCGTTCTTGTCTTAGCCTTTTGGAGATCTACATTAACTTCTTCCACGCAGGTGGCAAAAGAGAGGGCCGAGGCTACCATCACCACCTCAGACTCAATTATAGCACAAGAAGCCCTCAAAGGGGATGTGAATGGCAGATGGCATCTGACTTCTGTGGCCCCTCCAACTGAACAACCTAACCTTATCGACATCAAATCCGAACTATCCGATAATGACTTAGTTGATTTTCGAGGCTTGGCAATGGTTCCAAGGCATCATGCTTCATTGCTTGAGAGGGCATGCATATCCACATTTGGCCATGTACTCAAAGAGGTCCTTGAGATGGCGTGAGTTTTCTTATAAGACGTTAGGGGAGCTACTGTTTTTCCTCACTTCGACAAAGCGGAAAGAAACGACACATAAGGCATGGGAGCATCTCCAAACGCTCTGGGAGGATACCAAAGGCTTGGGGTTTGATTTATCTTGGTTAGCTCCTGTTATGGAATCTGATCTAAGTTCAAGTTCTGAAACTGAGAATACTTGCTTGTTGGAAGCACAGAAGAAGGTTGTGAAGGAGCACACCATCAAGCTACATTGCCAACTGGCAACACTTACAATGCAATTGACCGAAGCTGAGAAAGAGCTCGCTGATCTGCGGATGCTACTTAAACACGCTAAGAAAAAGCTGCTGTCCAATGAGGAATTTCTATATACAGACTTGTGAATGTGTACACATGAGAAGAATAGCTGATTTAGAGCTTAGAGTCACCGCGACAATAACGCTGTTTTGACAAGCTCAACGCAAAAATTAGGTAAATAGAATGGCTGCCTGAGCATTGTATGTTCTTCATTTGGCAGCATTTTGAATCATCGAGGATCTACTGTTTCACAGGCCAGCAATGTGAGCGTTGACAATCATGTTCTTTTGGATATAGATTTATCTGTAGTCTATCACAACTGTGTATATATTTACTCTTTTCAGCAGATTAATCACATGAGTTAGTCTTGGAAAAGAAACTGATGGGTCAGTTGCATTTTAGTTCCATCTGGTTTACCACATCGATTTATCCATGTCAATTCAGTTTTGATAGTTCGGGAGCATTTTTGCTCACCACTTTTTCATATATCGTCAATGTGGATACGATGCTAGTGGTATAATCCACAACGCTAGTGGTATAAAAGTAAACACCTTTATTTCAGCGGGAGGTGAAAGGAGGCTCGAACAGAGGAGAATCGCAATGGAGGGGTCCTGTACACTGCTACGACGGAGGGGGACGAAGCTCGCCAAACTCTCAGAGAACTCATCATCTACCCTCTCCTTTATTTCCGTCAAGCCCAAAAGCTAGGTCTCAAAGTAAACACCTTAAACCCCTCCCGGCACCGAAAAGGTAAATATTGATTGAATCATCAATTTTCCTAGGTTTTTACTTTTTGAATTTGCTCGATCATATTGTTATAGTTGTAATTAACATTGGTTGCTAATTGGGTTTTACTAATTTTGTTTGCTTATTGGGTTTTTATGAAATTTTGTGTTTTTGTTTTTCTTCATGCTGGAGAAGCTTGGTACGAGCAGTGGTTAGGGAATGTGGTAGCACATTTAATTGTCATTAGGTACCCTAATATTCCTTAATCTTTACTTTGATCGTATCTTATGGGTACAAATGAAATGATGGCAGTGTTGTTCTTGACTCATAAGCTATGATTACGATATTATGTTGTCATGGTTTTAATTTTGTTTATTTTTCAATAGTCCACATTCTGTCCACAAAGCACATGCCGGAGAAAGTCAGAGGCTTCCTTGTATACATTGTCAGGCAAGCCATATGTTATCTTTATAGATGAAATAGATGCACTCTGTCCTCGCAGTGATTCTAGGTAACAACCAGTGGTGCAAGAGCGGACTCTAATGAACTTTGGGCATGCCCGGCTTAACATGGTTAAGTTATGTTTGAATTGCAGAAGAGAGCAAGATGTGGTTGTTGCATCCACTAACAAAAAAAACTAGGCATATAGTGTATATATTCCAAGACTCTTGATAACAAATGCGTAAGCAAATTCATAGATAGCTCAATTTTCCAATTCACTGTTTCTTCCGTATTAGTCTGTAATTTGTGTTTGGCTACTTAGAAAATGTGAATGAATGAAGATTTGGAATTAGAATGTCGATAGTGTCTGTATGACGATTATAAGTGCAATGCATTTTAGTTATCTAGTAAAATTTTCAAAGTATATTCTGCAATTTTTAGATGCCATGGTTGAGGTATTGGTGGAATGCTCACCCATCGGAAATTAAATGACTAAGTTACTTTTGTCTGCAGGTTTAACGTGAGCTCCATTTGTGAAGGTAGATCCAAACCTAAATGTAGTTTGGACTGCATGTCTAATCTGATAAGCTTCTGTTTTATTTATTAGTTTTTCAAAGGTATGTTTGGAATCAATTTGGTTGTACCGTGTAATCAGGTTGTGTTTACAGTTTTGAATTTTTCAATTGCTGCTTGTAAATAGGGATTTCAAAATCATGATGTATTCTGAAGTTGGTTATAAATACATAGCACCCTGTGTTGTTGAGGGTGTGCAATACAGTGAAAACTATTTGAATTCTTAAGTTATTTTAGTCTCACAGTTTTCGTGGGTTGGTTCGCCGAAAAAATATTTTCCGCATAATTGCTTTAATAATTTTCTGTAATTTTTCAAGCCACCGTGATTGCAATCATGACCCGATAAATACGTAATGTTTAGTGAGTCGTGTTTCATAATCATTCGAAAATGATATATAACTGCTCATGCTCATTGCATGCTCAAAGGATGCACATTGCATGCCCAAAGAATGCACATTGCATGCCCAAAGAATGCACATGTCATGCACATTGCATGCTCAACACATGCATATGATATGCACACTACATACTGAACAAAAAACATGCGCATGCTCAAAGGATGCACATATGATATGCACATTGCATGCTCAAAGGATGCACATGTTGTGGAGCCAAAAATAATTACAAGGCAACACGTGGATTGTTGGACAAAAAGGACCAAAATACCCCTGAGGTACACCAGGATCTCTACGCGCAAGCAGTCGACAATCTTTTTTTCAACAAAGTCAAAGATGCTCCAAAAGAGGTCAACAATTCAAAGTCTATCTCATCAAATTCCCTTTTGCAAGGTAACCTCCAAATTATTGTGTTAATTGGTTAATTAATGGATTAATTACCCAATTAATCCATTAAATATCAATTAAGTCACCCATTTAATCCCAAAACCATATCAATGGCCGGCCAACCCCATCCAAGAAAGAATCCATCATATTTTCTACCTTTTTCTATCATTTTCTCCTTTTTAATTACACTAATTAGCTAGCTAATAAATCCCATAAACACCAAAACATTCCCTTTATGTTTAATTAGCCAATTAATCATAATAAATTGGCTAATTAAACCAAAATTCATTCCAAAAAAACCAACCTATGGCCGGCCACTCTTTTCTCCAAAAAGGACCGGCCTATCCCTATATATAGGCTCCCATTTTCACCAAAAAGCCATTCCAACACTCTTGCAAAATTCCACAAACTCTCTTAACACTTTTTCTCTCTAAATTCTAACTTTGGCATCGGAGGTTCTTCAGCCAAAGCCCCCCCCCCATTCATCGTGGGTGTGTGAGGCTCTTAGCCTTGACCTAAGGTGTTAATTGTTTTGTAGGTGCAATTTTGTCCAAGAAGAAGAAGGCGGAAATTTACATCCACAAATTGGTGCTTTCATTGAGAGTTGAAATCCACACTCGTAGAAGACTCTCGCACAAAAAGGTTTTTTCTTTATTTTCTAGTCCATTAGAATATTTTTCATAAGTTCTTATTATTAGAATTTTTTACTTGCAAAGGTTCTTTGATAAAACGTATAAGAAAAATATAATGGCTAGAAATTTAGAAAATTCCACAAGTGAAAATTCTAATATTCAAGAAATAGGATCGCAGAGATCCGTGAGGCTAAATGCGACAATAAGTGGAGCAGCATCACCACCACGAGTTTCCACCACGAGAACCACTGCGATGGCTACCTCGGTAGCCACCAATGGCGAGGTCCATGGTGCCTTCACCACGGCCCGAGCCGTGCCATCCAAGGCTCACGGCACCAAGGCCACGGCCCAAGCCATGTCACTCCAAGCCCAACGCGAACTCAACGCGTTGCCAAGCCAAGCCCAAGCCTCGCACCCATGTGCATCACACTCCAAGCAGCTTGCTTCCGTGGCTCAGCCTGCTCCAACCAGCAGCCCACTCATATGACCCAGCTTGCTTCAATCGATCAGCCCACTTTTATGGCCCAGCCTGCTCCTGCCGAGCAGCCCACTCTCGTGGTCCAACCTGCTTTCGCGGCCCAGTTTGCTCCCGCGGCCTTCCAAGTAGCCCAAATTGGTCCAAGATTAGTTCAACCATCCTGGCTCCAAATTTCCAAACCAATGATCAAACCGGGAGCATTTTCACCACATTTTGCTACAGATTTGACATTTCCCAACTCAAATCTCGCACCCGGAGTTTACCACACTTCCACTACTCAAGGAGAAACATTCTTTCCAAGCTCTCCCAACTCAAATGGAGAACAACACTTGTCTCGACAAGTCATAAAGTTGACGAGCGCCCTCGTACAACAGACGACCTTGGTGAACCAGCTCTTGCAACACACCGAGATACAACGTGTCCCAGATGAGGTGTCCCAAAGTAGAACAAGGGCAGACAAAGAACCTCTCCAACAGCGTCCCGGTAAGCAGCCACTCGACCAGCCACGAATCAAGCGTTCAGGCAATGTACACTTCCGATTGGGCCCCCGAGATAGCGTATACTCCCGTCTTAGAGTGCGGAGGAGGGTGCACTCTCGACTAGGCCCACAAACGAGCATACATTCACGGTTAGGGTCACACTCCGATAGTCAACATAAGCAACCTTCCAGGCGAAGTGTTCATTCACGGCTAAGCCTGCAATGAGCATCATCCACCTCATATCGGAGTAGGCAGCACGACGAACGGAGAGAAGTAGCCACTAAATCCGGTTCAAGTTCAACAGGCAGCCTGTGAAGAACTCGCTCGCCTGCTAGGAACACCTCACATGCACTGCATCCGCGGCATAGACGAGCCAAACACATGGAAGAGCAGCCTCGACCAACAAGTCACGGCTGGAGGCAGCCGAAAGCTCCGCTACCCCAACAAAGGCAAATTCAGGAAGAAGTAGAGAGACTCTTGATCAAGCGATTGCACAATTTCCAACGCAATGAGGTCACCGATGATGCACTACGATGGAACATGATCAACATAAGCAGGTCACCCTTCACGGATAAGATCGAGCAGGCAGAGCCTCCACGCGAGTTCAGCATGCCACATTTCACATCTTTCAAAGGGGATGAAGACCTGTAGAGACACTTAAAGCACTACCGAAGCACAATGATCCTCTATCGAAACAACGATGATCTTATGTGCAAAATATTCACCACCACTATACAAGGCGAGGCGCAAGATTGATTCTACACCCTGCCGCCACAATCCATCTAGAATTTTGATGAACTTTCTTTGGTTTTCACCAAAGAATATTCATCATATCACTCGATCAAAAAGAAGTCTAACCATTTGTTCAACATCAAGAAGAACCCAAAAGAGTCGATTCGCGACTATATGAGGAGGTTCAAAGCAGAGAAGGCAAAAATAGTCGGATGCAACGACTCGATAGCTAAAGCAACCTTCCAAAAAGGACTTCCAGCAAACCACCCACTGTTCGAAAAACTGATAATGAAACAAGATCTAACTTTGGCAGACTCTTTCGCTCTAGCAGAAAAGCATGCACTTTGGGACGAAGTTCGCCAATGCCCATTTAAGGCAAATCCAAGCGATCTTGAATATGAAATTCCCCACTACTCTGAAGGAGATTCAAAGTCTGAATGGACGAGTAGTCGCATCTGAAGCAGAAATAAGCTCTACCATCATACGAGAAGAGTTGAGGGCCCGACTACCTGTATTCCACAGTTTAAAAGCTCTTATTGATGTTATCAGAAATTCAAAAGCTAACTTTGGCGATAGTTGTTGTAACCTAAAAGCTCAAGTTTTACCTTCAAACGCACGCAATCATCATCATGATGCACTATTCCGCCGAATCCAGACGTGCGACGATAAAGGAGTAGACCTTAGTGGATGCAAATATTTCTGATGAACGCAACAACTTAGCCCAAAAGACACGCCAAGGGCAGACGAACACTGGAAGGAACACTCATAAGCAAGTTTTTTCCTCGTCGTCCCAGAAGATTCTACATAAAAGCAACATATACTGGTAGTTGAGCACTACATCCTGCCGCGCGTCACACAGCCCTAGCCGACCCTTGCTCCATTATTTAGCTCTAAAGTGGCCCAATATCGAAAGTTGAGCATCTCCTGCTACATGTAACATGGCCCTAGCTCCACGGCTCCCTGCCGCACCTTTACTCCTAGCCTTGACAACGCAACAGAGTAGCCCAATGACGCCCCGAAGGCAGCCGAGCACACTTTAGCTGCACCTACTCCCTCAATGGAGATTTCTGGCATTTGCATGTTGACAGCGCATCCAACTACAAAGGCTCGCTAGTAGCTGTGGTTCTTGTCACCCCAGACGGTTCAATGTTCGAGCAGGCGATCACTCTAAGCTTCAAAACATCTAACAACGAAGCATAGTACGAGGCCCTACTAGCAGGCCTCCGAATGGCAAAAGAGTTGGTAGTGAAGAATCTCGCAATTCATTCTGATTCCCAGCTAATCACCAGCCAAACTACTGGGGAGTACACGGTAAAATATCAGAGGACGGCGCAATCCCTAGAGAAAGTACGCAAGCAGCTTGAGGCATTGGAGAAGTTCTTCCAAGAATATGGCATCAAGCAGCACATGTCCATGCCGAGATATCCTCAAAGTAATAGGTAGGTCGAAGCATCCAACAAAATGATCCTCAACTGCCTCAAGAAATCCTTCACCAACAAGAAGGAAAAATGGCCAAGACGAACTCCCTGGATGTCTATGGGTATATCGCACAACTAAAAGATGAGCAACCGGTGAGACTCATTTCTCTTTGGCATTTGGTTCGGAAGCAATCATTCATTCTAATGTCATCAAGCCAAGTATCACCACTCTACTACCAATCATTGAGCAGAATAGTAAGGAGATGATCACAAGCTTAGATCTGGCAGAGGAGAAGTGCGAGCAGATTATCACCCACATTGCAGCTTACCAGCAGCAGTTCCTCTCCAGCCACAATAAAAAGGCCAAGATCCGGCAGTTCCAGCCCAGAGATCAAGTCCTAAGAAAAGCCTTCATCACTGCCAGCAGAGAAGACTCCAAAAAGATGAATCTTATCTGGGAAGGTCTATATAAGATTAGCAGAGTAGGCAGCAAAAGTAATTACACAACGAAAAAAAGATCGAAAAGCAGTGGAGCACCTTCAATCTGAAGAGGTACCATGTGTGACCTCCCACTACATCAAAGCCTGAATACTCAAGAAGTTTGATAGGCACCACCACACAAGATGAGGACTATCCAGTTGTTATGCAGTTCCTACCTTACAGCTAAGTTCTCATTCGTTTCACTCGTTT